GACCTGTTCATTTTTTGTTTAAACCCGTTTATTTCAATTTTAAAGCCGTTGTTTCTTGTTCAAACCTGTTTATTCTTGTTTATTAGCCTATTTTACATGTTCTTAGCTGATAACGTCGCTGATGACGTCACTTCCTGCGCCGGGAGGAGGATGGTGAATCGGCCTTCTCCCTCTACTCACTATAAAATCTAGTCACGTGATCAGAACTACCAATCATATTGCAATACTTTTTACAATGGATGGGATCTAAATGGTATATGGTATACGCATATAAAACCGATACACATCACTACAAAATCTTATCACATGATCAAATCTATCCAATCACGTTGCGTCTTCAATGAAACATCTAGGCTAGGGTATCCATAAGCGTGTTCAAGAGTAAAGACGCCATTGTGTCCACGCATTGTTTGTTTCACATCAGTCTAGGGTGCGTCATTTAAATACTTTTCTTAAAGACGGTATATCGATAAATATGGTATATCCAGCTATTCTTTTTACACAATTTATAGTTCAATTGCAGAAGAAAGAGGAAGTACACTTATAGGCTCTGTTACTTACGTAGTACACGTTGTATCGTTTTGAGGATTTTTTTTTCGTCAATATAGTGTTAGCATTTTTTCCCTTGGAAAACGGAATTGAGGGTAAGTTTTAAATTTATCAATTATAAGGTTTTATTTAACTTCACATGCTTGTATCTATGTACATTTTTATATGCATAAGTATGTTCAATGATAAGTTTTTGCAGTATCGAGTATAGATTTTGTAAACGTGTACTGTATACCGTTTAGATACCTCGGTTGCAAATTAAAAGACAATTCGCGCAATAGCTTTTTTAAAAAATAGACTTTAAAAGAAATTCCTTTTCGTAAATACATGGATTAAATAAAAGCTTGTTATCCGAAAGTTTTTTTTATTTATTACTAGCAAGTACGTATTAAACACCCCAACAGTAATTGTCTAATATATTGTTTACCCTTTCTCCATTTTTTAGAAGCTGTCAAACTTTCTTATTCTGGTAGATAACTGGGCTGAGAGACTTAAACGATTCTGTAAAATTATATACTATAACAGAAAAAAAAAATGTGAACGTATGTATCTATATATTATTCTTTATTTTGTATGTTTTGTTATATTTATGCATTGTCAGTTGTCTCATTTTAAGAATTATGATATGTTTTGTTTATTTTTATTTCAGTAATGTACGGTATATGTCTCCAATTTTTAAGATGTTATTAAAGAAGATTTCCAATTAAGTTTTGTATACTTATTCATGAAAAATCCTACCATTTACCATATAAAATATATTAGGTAATTAAATTTAGTAATTTAAGCACCTAGCATTATTGTTTTTATTAATAAGCAGTATTTTTTAGAAGCTGTATAAACAAAGTTTTTATTTTAAGGTTACTTAAAGATTGCAATATTATGTTATATATATATATATATATATATATATATATATATATATATATAAAGAACATAAACATATATATATATATATATATATATATATATATATATATATATATATATATAATATATATATATATATATATATATATATATATATATATATATAAGCATATATATATATATATATATATATATATATATATATATATATATATATATATATATATATATATATATATATATTGCAATATATAAGTACCTTAAAATAAAACTTTGTTTATGCTATTCTAAAATATATATATATATATAAGGCCTATCCATGTCCTAAGTACCAAGAGGGTATAATATATGTCACCATTACGTAGCAGTTCTTATATATATACTTTAGGTTTGTTTATACTGGTTCAAATATCCTTCATATTGATATATACATAAACATATGTTTATATATATATATATATATATATATATATATATATATATATATATATATATATATATATATATATATATATATATATATATATATATATATATATATATATAATATTGCAATCTTTAAGTAACCTTAAAATAAAAAACTTTGTTTATGCTGCTCTAAAAATACTGCTTATTAATAAAAGGCCTATCCATGTCCTAAGTACCAAGAGGGTATAATCCATGTCACCATTACGTAGCAGTTCTTAAGTAACTTTAGGTTTGTTTATACTGGTTCAAAAATCCTTCATATTGATGAAAAACGATAATGCTAGGTGGTTATATTACTAAATTTCATTTCCTGGATGCGTATGAATGTGTATGTAAAAATAGCATTTAATAAACAGTTCTGTTTCACGTATAAATTTATAAAGAAAAATAACATTTAATACTCGTATTTGGTCTACGTGTAATCCTAGTATATCATAAATTGCTAATATACATTTACCATCTTGTATAATATTGGTATATGTATATACGATTATAAAAGGAATATAGAAAACTTAAATATATACGTTGAAGTGGCGGACATTTTCCAGTTTATTATACGTTTCACATTCTTTGTCGTATACCTAGATAAGATGGACGGTATTAGATCAGTTTAAACGTATAATATACCATTGTGTGTTGCTTGGGTACATTTTTTTTGGACTCGAAATAAGTTTACAGAATTTACCTCTATACAAAAAATGCTTCGTTTGTCTGCTAGAGGGCAATAAACTTTAAAAAAATAAACACATTTTTTCAGATATTTTAAGTACAGTTATTCCGACTTAAATGAGATTTTCGGTGTATATATCTTTTGCTAAGTGCTTTCACATTTGACTTTAAGAAGACATTTGACTCTGAGAAGAAGGACCATTCTACGAAAAAAAAAATTTGGTCGGTGGTCGAGTTGGAAAATATTTTACTAAAATGTATGTAGGGGGTGGGGGCAGTTTTCACCCTTCCCGTACTTTTTCTTAGTTTTTGTGAAAGTCAAATGTTTAAGCACTTAGCACAACATACACACGGAAAATCTCATTCAAGTTGGAATAACGGTTCTTAAAATATCTCTCTTAAAATATCTTTCGTTCTTAAAGTTCTTATATATGTGTATTTTTGAAAATTTGATTTTTCTATAGAGGTAAATTATTGTGTCCAATGAATTTATTTTGATTCCAAAAATATAGTAGTAGTAGTTCTATGTCCACGAAATATTGGTACGCCCTGTATATAGTTATAGTACATATATTATTAATTTTAATTTTAAACATCAGAAACTGAAATCTGACTTTACGAGGGAAGTCTGCGAAGTTTGTGTTCTCACGATATATTATTATATTATGGCACCATCCATGCAATAAATTTGGCGCAGTTTGTGTGTGTATCTTTTAAAGCTCCTAACGACCAATTATTCTTGAATTCATCATCTTAGACGGGTTGATTAGGTAAGAAAAAACCAAGTTAGAGGAAGTGCGTGGATTTGCAAAAGGTGTTGTGAGAGGTCGGAAACTTCTACAGGGTGAGTCTTATAAAATACAAATATTTTAGGGGTAGTATATTTCGACCACAGAAACTCATTTAAGAATTTTTTATCGCGAAAATATATTTTTTCTTCAAATTTTGGAATTTTTTGAAAGAAATTTGGGATTTTTTTTTTTAAATAGAGAACAACGGCATAAAAATGTTTAATAAATTTAAGACTTTTATTTTATTCCAAGATAAAACATTTCCTTGGACAACCTTCGCAACCAAATCTTCCCTAAAATTACATCCCAGATCCTATTGAAGTTTTTTAATATCAAGGAAACATTCGTGTGAGAGTTTGTGAACATTGAAAGGCGGCTTGGATTTTTTTGCGTTTTTTATTATAGTGACGTATTGATGGGGAGCGTATATGGGCCCGGATTTTAGGTTCCTCTTTACTTCTTTTTCTATTAAAGAATGAACATTGTCCCCTTCATTCTGGGTGTGGCCTTTGATTAAAAATTTATGTGTTAAGCTTTTTATGCTGTAATGTCTAATCCGGTCTCGAGTAAATGGGGATTACAGCTAAATATTGCGTCAAAATATTTCAGAATGCATGTGCCTATTTCAATAGCGCCACGTTTACCTTCTGTTTCGTTCCAATAAAAACAATGGACACCTTTGTAGGCATGATGTTTTTTAGCATTAACTTCTATTTTTTCTAATTTTACTAGGGTTAGGTTATAGCTATTTAGCTTGGATTTGTAATAAAAGCGGAAGTATCACCCCTTGGACACTGTAGGACCTCTTGGAGATCGTAAACCTACGATCTACTTTTTTTATTGTCTGATATTTCAGAACGATTTATTTTCTTTTGTGTGCGGCTCAAATCTTTCTCTAGTAAATGGTTTTTATATTCTCCAAATTTTCTTTGGATGTTCCCTGTGCATTAAGATAGGATAGGCATTGGTCGCAATGATCCTTTTTGGGTTCATGAAACCCGATATTGAAGTCCTTTGTGAAAATATTATAATAAATCCAATATTTTCCAGCACTTTTCTTCTTTGATTTCTGATCTTCTTCAAAGTCTTTGTAAAGTTGAGTAATAGTTTTACTGCCATCTATGTATTCACGTTCAGTAGTCGATCGCACGTAGTGTGAATCGATTCTCGGAATTGAATTAATGTGATTTTTGATATCCTCCTTAAGAATTGGATCAATTTGTAGGTAATGATTGTGTTTTCCCCGATTGTCATCTTGTAGAAATCCATTTTCACCCATCTTAATCCTTACAGTGCGAATTATCTTGTCCCATATGTCCAAGGTATTGTTGTAAAATGTTTTGCAAACTCGTATTGGCAAACCATTTACTGTGAAGTAAAAAGCCTGGTTGGCATTTCTAGGGCTTTCGGCATTCGTGTATTTGTATCGGGAACTATGTTTTACATACATGACCCAACAAATGCGCGTTGCTTATTAATATCCCCAAGTTTCCAGAAACTATTGAATATCGCTGTTCGATTTTCCGTATCAATATTATCACCACATTTTAATCAACATTTCTCAGGACAAGGTGATTTCATTGTTCTTTCTGGAATTTGTTTCTTGGACTTGGATAATGATTTGTAAGTTTTCCCACTGTTTTTTGGCCTTAATTTGCTTCCATTTTTCTGGATTTCTAGAACGTTTCCTCCCCTTGTGAACATTCTCTTGAAGATTTTCTTCATCTGTAGACGACTCTGAAGAATTATCGGAAGATGAATTCGAAGACAAACCCTTTTCAGACACTGGGATGTTTTTTGATGGTATATCATTCAGAAAAGAATACCTAGTTTGATAGTTTTTCTGTGAATAAGTCGGATCAGAATCGGTGTAGTCAACATCACTTTCATTTGAGTGAAATGCGGTATTTTTTGTTACATCCGTTCAGCATTTTCGTTTTATGTGTAATTTGGTAGGGCATTCTTTATCTACTTCAACAGTAAATTATTCAGTAGCCTGAAACACGAACAAAACGGTGAAAATTTTAAATATTTTTTGTAAAATAGTTTCAGCTTACTTCGACATTCGAACGTTGAGTCATATTATTTTCATTGGTCAAAGTTGAGTAATCTGATTTTTCTTTTGGGGCGACCTTGATCTACTTCAACAGAATCATTGAAAGACTAAAACAAAAAGGATCAACTTTTTGGAGAACTTTTTGTTATAATGGTTAAACCTTATTATATCCAAATATTTTGTTAAATTTGGTTCGTTGACATCCAAACTGAGATATTCTGGTTTTTCTTGATTTCTGATTTTTTTTTGCTTCCGACGACGGAAAGAGATAAACTTTCCGAAACGTTAAACATTGTTTTCTTTGTTAGGCAAATTTTTATTACTGTAAACATAACTTCTGACAAGCAGTGTCCGTTTAGGTTTAACGCAGAAGTGTTTACAAAAAATAGCTACTTTATTTTGTAGATTTTTCTTGCAGTGCAGTGGCGAAATACCCATAAAGGATTTTTTTGGAGTAATATATTCTAAATTTACCATAATCGAGTTTATAGTATTGCCCTGTTCGATGCCCTGATCTAAAACAATACGATTTTCCGGTTCGGTTTGAAATTCTAAAGGTAGGGTTATCTAAAAGAAAAAAAATCCAATTAAAAAAATGACGCGGCATAAAAAGGGTAAATGCAGGTAACGAAATACTAAGAAGTATACATATTCATAATTTAAATCAAAAGAGCACTAAGACCTAATGCGCTTTTAAAAATTGACAAAGTCTAAATAAAGTCAGTAAAAAAAAGCACATTTCGAGATAATCATATAAATGTACTTATAATTAATATATATTTATCGGAGTACACCTCCACCTGTGAATACCTGAAAAACTGTCAGGCTCATGTCATAAGTTTAGTTTTGAATGACTTGTAATTTTAAAATTGTATTTTAAATAGAAGTCGAGTTTTAGTGCACTTTATATATCTATAAACCCCCCAAGAAACTTTTAAATTATTTACCTGACAATTTGTGTGAATCAAAGACACAATCACAAACACGCCGACAATAAACACAACCTGTTCACTGTAGTGTTGGTATGATAATGAATGGTAGTGCTGTCAATCGGAAAATGCGATTTTACCCGAAATTAGTTCTTAAAATGCTCACCGTTTTCCTCACAAGAATGTCAAATCCTCACAAAATCCTCACCAAACATTTCACGTAGGTTTAATAATTTTTCATAGTTAGGATCGAACATCTAAATAAATGTTAGATAAATGTAATACAGATTTAAAACAGTATTATAGGAATTTAATTTAATTTATGAATAAATACTTTTTAAGTCCGGTTCTACAGCGTGATCCGCCTTCTGGTTCCTTGCCGCCATTGCCTTCTGTCCATCCAGTCATCGGCTTGTAAATTGCGCAATGACATTGCCTTTGTTACCCTCTTTAACCATGTCTCTCGGGGTCTTCCTCGTTTTCTTTTTCCAGTTGGGATGCATTTCATTATATTCTTTGGTAGCCTTTCTTCTCCCATATAACGCCACCTTGGGTGAAAAAGTTTACAATGGAACTCAGGTTCACCAGGTTCCGTTACAAATAGGTTCCAGCTAGCTCAGTAAATAATTAAGTAAAATATATGCCCAGAACAAGAGATATCAAAAGGGAGGTGTATGGAAAAAGTGTACTGATTGAAACGTCTAAAATGTACTGGATTCGTTTAATAAATATTAAATTTAAAGTTAAAACAAATTACCAAGATCTATCATAAA